TAACAGCCAAAACATACAGAAAAATTGCCCAAGACCCTTGTAAATGTGGGGCTAGGCTACTGTTTAACCGGTTGGAGAAGGGGAAATGGCATAAATCTATTGCCAGTGGAGCAGTAAAGTGAAAAAGAAATGTCCCCAAGCGAAAGGCGGGGTACAGAATGGAGATATCTTAAGACAGCTGAAACTGCTAAATAAACGTACTCTCTATCGCTTTCCCACACTAAAGGAAACATTCAATTTGCTTGCCATTTCCAACGGAAATCAAAGTAAGGCTTCCCGTTCTATGGTTTTGCAACATTTTCTATTATTTGCATACATTTCAGCGTTGCCGTCATTTCAGCAGAGATTTTCTTACTGGAATAACTTTAATAAATATCTTCCGATAAAGATCATAAAGCAGGGAAAATCTATCTGTTGAATGCTCAACAGAATATGGGATCTAATCATATTGAAAGTATTTTTACAAGAGGTTGTTTCTGCGTAAAAGGAAATGCTCTTTCAAGCAGACACCCACACTGAGAATTGTGTCCATGAAATATAATTGAAAGTGTCCAACTCTATATGGAACTCTAACAACGTCTACAGAACTTTGGTGCTAAGACTGTTATGGCTCTTTCATAGACGATTGCCTCATTTAGCAATCTCGAGGAGGAGCGAGGGTAGGCACTTGAGAACATTTGAAGCTCATGAGACAGAGAGACCAATTTGCACTTTAAATAAGATCCAACGGCTAATTTCCATTGTAGTGCGGCAGCTGTCAAGAGGAGGCCATTAAGACGAGAGCAGCGACATTTGCAGTTTAACAATATATGTATGTGCGAGTTATTCGAGTACTTAAATAATAAACACATATTGCATGGGCCTTAATTTGACAACTGAAAGGCATGAAATGACACAAGAGACAGCGACAGCGACAGTGTCCGCTCATTAATCTGTCTGAGAAAACAAAAAACAAAAAACAAAAAAAAACATAAAATAAATAAAAGAACGATTCCATTCCACCAGGCGATATCAAAAAGTTGTAAATTGATTTGCTACCAAATATAGCAACAGACAGCTCGCTCCAAATTTCATGTTATTTTAAAATTCGCCAAAAGCCTAAAACCAAAGCCAAAAACTCAAACCCGAAAGCCACAAAAATGTTCATAAAAATCATTCATGGATCATTACGGGTAAGGCAATAAATCTAGGCGAAATATTTCGATTTGTTTTGGGGGGTGGGCAGGGGAGTTCAAAAAGTGCTCAATAGTGTTTGAAGTGTGTGTTCCTTTTGGGCTCTCGCAGCATGATTGGAATATTTAATTTCCTAACTGACATCATTAGGAGCAGCAGCACAGCAGGTGGACTCGAAATGTTTTCATAAATAACATATGCGAATGCCCAGACATTTGCATAGCAATATCCCCACTTTCGGTAGGAATTGTGTTAAAAGTTAAACACCAACAAAAATTATAATAAATTAGTTTTATTACAATAAATCGTCATTTAAATGAAATCATGGTTTCCAGCTGATTAATATGGAAATTGGTGATTTTTTGTTTCGGGTATACATACGTTAGGGGTGCTCAGGTGCCAGAAATGTTAAATATTTGTTACTGTTTTTGGGAGAGGTATGGGTAGCTAGCTAAATGTTTTCAAGATTATTAAATACATACACATATAGTATGTATGTATGTATATTTAATACCTATTAAAAATCCACCCTAGCCCACCCCTATGTCATTTGTAATCGGTAATTTATTTCACAAATTAATGACTGCGCTTTCAAGTTGGTTATTTCATTTCGTTCATTTTGCTCTGCCATTTCCATATTTGATTTATGTATTTTATTTTCGACACTTTTTGTTGTTGTTGTTTCAACTTGAAATATTTACACAATTTTCAAATGAAAAATGTAGTTTCAACTTGGGGAATCAAACGATTGCCGCTTTCGGATTTTGGAGCTCGACTTGTGTGTGGACCTCTATTGGTTATCGCCTCTCAAATGGGTGTCATAAATATTTTGAATAACATTTCGTGGCTTGAGCTTGAACCTAGATCATATTTTGATTGTCTAGTGATAAATTTAGGCAGCAGCAGCTGATTTAATTTTCAGCTGAGTTTCAGCAATTGAATTCTTGTGACAGAATTTATGTTTTTATTGGTAATATTTTATGGCATTTTATGGAAGTTTTCTACTTTATTTTACGACTTTTTCATGGAAAGTTGTTTAGCATATGAAACTCTAGGTATGGCTCCTCTCTCTCTCTCTCTCTCTCTCTCTGTGTCTCATATTTTAATCACCACAAAATTAACTATGCCACACCAACGCATTTTAATTGTTTGGGGCAACAACGAGGCAGCAATTTATGACTCGCCTTGTGTCCCCCCAATCAAAAAAAAAAAATCAAAATGCACTCAGAGCCCATGCCCCAGTCCCAGTCTCAGTCTCAGTCACTATGGAAATGAGTCTCTTCTGGCACTTGGATTCGATGCGGTTCGATTCGATTCTTTCATTGGCTTCAATTCTATTTTAAGGTCTTTTCAATTTGCATGCTCAATCGATGATCAGCTTGATTGGTCCCCATACATACTACATACATACATACATACATTTCTGCAGTCTTTTCCATTTCCATTCTAAATTTTATATGAATTTATTGGCCGAGCGTAAAGTTTTTAGTGCTCGAAAGTGGATGGACTTCCTGTGGTTTCATTTTGGGATCTGGCGTAAAAGTATTTACAGCAATTTGAGCTTTCCAAACCATAACAAAGATTGCCCATTTAGCTAGTTGGATAATTTAAATTTAATTGGTGGATATTTCAGAATTAGATTCGATTTCTGGGCGAAAGGAAAGGCAGCGAAAATGAGAACAAAGAAATGTCTATAGTCATAACAATTAAACAATTCATAAATATTTCATAGCCCAAAATTGATTTCATTATCTCAAAGGGGTCCCGAATATCCGATAATCTATAAGTATCGCCATCTCTTTTTCCGTTATCTGCTGCACTTACCATAATAATTCATTTTTTGGGTTCAAACAAATGTCAAATGCAAATATTGACAAAACGAAACAACTGAACAAACCAACTGACTGTCAATCTACCCCTCGGTCACTCAATCTCTCTCTCATGCAGTGCCCCCCCCCTGTTCTATCTGTTACCAAAAACTACATAAATGGAACCCTTTGTGGGTTAATAACAATATTGACAGGTGAAAACCATAAACTGCAGCGGAAGAGAGGATAAGAGAAAGGAGTGGGAGAAGGATTTGCAGTCGATAAGGACACATACTTCCTACACTTCCTTCCTTTTGGCAAATGACTCACAGTAGCAGTGAGTGACAGGACAGACAAACAGACAATCGGAGGGAGATACTAGTGTAATGTGAAAACAAAGGAAATGCACATCGATCGACCTACCTGTGCTGTGCTGTTCTATGTTGCCATCGTAGTACCCAGAGACCATCCAGTCCACATTAACATTACAATTGTCGGTAGCAAAGTTAAGCTGTAAATTATCAATGGTGGTGTCTCTGTCTCAGTCTCAGTCTTCCCTCCCCAGATGGGAATTAGTTTCGATAGCAACCAAAAATTAGCATATTTAGCCACTGTATCTTGTGCGTAGCTGCGACGAGGAACTCCCATCGAAGAAAGCCCGGACAATGGCTTAGGTAGCCCGTAAATTGTCATGGGCTGCAATGGTTTGGGCCTCTATGCTAATGTCGAACGTTCAACTGCCGTTTGGCCGGCCTGCCCACACACTTAACTCACCCATGGGGTTTCGTCTCGGCCAGAGTCTGTCCGCATCTGAATGTTTGTGTATCCCTCGTGCTCGTGTTCGTTTTCGTGTTCGTGCAGTGGCATAAACAAAAACCGAACTGAATGCACTCCCGAGGATCGTGTTGCAGTTGCATTGGGACGGCACTTTTGATTGTTTTATTTGTTCTTGGGCCCGGGACCGGGACCGGGATCGGCACCAGCTGTGTTTTCACACTTACACTCGAAGTCAAGGTTGACAACGAACGATCTGTGGACCGGGATCGAGAGACTCCCGCTAAAAGTCGGAGCATAAAATAGAAGCCTTGAAACGGATTATAAAAAGAAGAACCCAGCAACCTCATAGCTAACAGAAACTTTATGCTGCGCTGATCCCAATCCCAAAAGTTATTCAACTCAAGAATCTGTGGTTCAAGGTTCCAAAGATGACTTTTGTCATCATCCCATTGAAGCAGACGCTCCAGTGGCGGGCCCTACCTTCCTCTCTCAGGCGGACAACTGCCGCTCATGGGTGGGTCTACGCCTACAACTGCTTTCCTGTTGCATTATTTAGATTTATCTTTTCCGCTGGTAATCAGAAACGAGGCTAATAATCATTTGGTTGGGTGCCTTCGCTATGATTTGTTTTTAATGTTTCGAAAACCATTACCAACGGATCCATCCAGATAGGATCAGTTGGTCTGGACTCTATCACGTGTGCCCTCGAACCCCGCCGACGCGTCGTAATTTGTCAGGCTACCACAACACACAGCAAGTGACCGTCTCATCTCTCTCTCTCTCTCTGTCTTGGCCGATCCTCAATGCAGAATACAGACTGCAGATCCTAAGAAGATTCTGAAGAGTCGTCGTTGTCGTTGTCGCATGATATATGGGCGCCCTACCTACCCTGCTGCTGCTTCTGCTGATTCTCGCAACCGCGCCCCATTAAACGGATGGGAGCTGCGAGTAAGTCAGGCGGCAGCCCAAACTCAAACTCAAACCCAAGCCGAAGCTTACCCGAAGCCGGTTCTCTCGTCGTCGGCGTCGGCGTCTTCGTGGGCAGAAAGCAGCATGTTTCGACTTTGCTTTGCTTTGCTCTTTCGCCTTCGTTGTTGTGTTTTCTCTCCCTCTCTCGCTCTCTCTCTCTCTCTCTCTCTTGTTGTTGTGTTCGTTTCGTTGGCTCTCTTCGCCCATGTCATTGTCCATTATCATCGGCCTGACGGCCTGACTGCCTGGCCGCCAGTCTCTGGCTGCTCTGACGTTCACTTTGTTCCGACTCTTCGCGCTGCCAACAACTTCACTTCGTATCCGCTTCGGCTCGCGGCGCGACTCTGAACTCAGAAGCAGAGTAGGAGAAAATAGAAGAAAAAACCCGTCTCCGTATCGCCATCTCCGGCTCTGGTGTGTGTCTATCTATCTCTGTGGCTGTTGTCAATGTTTTTTTTTACCTAAACTAATCATAATGAAAACCTCGCTTTTCATCTCTGCTGTCGCAGCAAATTGAAAATTGTCCAAGAAAAACGATCAAAGAATTGATTCGAAATTGTGTTGTGTATTTGTGCTGTGTGTTGTGTTGTGCCCCGAAATGATCATCGGAAATACGCGCTCCAATCCAACCATCTACTTATCAACCAGCACATGCTGCTTATAATATACTACCAATCTGTTTGCCAGAGATCTTGAATGGAATAACATAACATATACGTTTATAATCTACATATTTTGCATGCTACGTGACTCTCTAGGAAGTAAGTTCCCCTGCCTCGATCGATAATACATGTTATCAGCGTTTTTTGTTGTTGTTCTTGTTGTTTATTTAAAAATTTACATTTCGATTTTGAGGAAATGTTGTGTGTTAATGATTTATTCTGTTCTCTTTCTTTGCAGCATGTTAATATTAAAATTTTCAAAAATGTCCCGCCATTATGGGGCTGCTCCAGTGCTACTACTGCTTTCCCTCTTAGCCTTGCAAGGCCCACAGCTATCGACGGCCCTGATGATGGGCCGCAGCAGCAGCAGCAGCAGTTACAACACGCAATCGAACTTTGAGTTGCTGGAAAACGATTCGCGATATATCTCATATCAAGGTAAGACGCGGACGGGCGACTGGGACTATCAAAAATTGTAACTGAAAACTGTGTCAATTGCCAGGGCATCGAATTAATCAAAGGGCAGCTTGAGGAGGCCACTTGAGGGTAGAGGGAGGCCTGTTGTAAATTGGGTTGATATCTGTCAGAGTTCTGTACCCCGAACACCTGTACACCGTCCGTTTGTTTATCCGGCATGTAATCTTGCTCTCAGTATAGCCCCATTTCAGAGTATCTCTCGCTTTTAATCAGAAAAAGGGCTTCGTGTTTTTCTCGAGTATTTTTCGATGTTAAATATTTTCCTTTTTTTTATTTTTGCTGCGTTTTTGCAATGGAATACGTCTTGAAATGCAAACTCAGCGCAGAGTTTTGTTGACAATGATTTTAATTTTGTGCTGTTTGGGTTTATATGATTCTTAAGTTAAATATTAAAGTTCAATGGAAATCTGCGGACTGTCCATTTGTTTATGACAAATGAGAGCCCTTCAATAAAAGTGAAATATTATACAATATTTATTTACAAAGTGGGGAAAAGCTCGAGGGCTAGATCTACGATACGGAAACATTGTAATACTCATTCCAGATATCATCATAATTTAACAACAATTATTTCTTGCTTCTTTTTGCAGACTTAATGTCAACTGCTAAACGATTTTACGATCCCGAAACGACTTGGTATTCAGAATTGCTATTCGATGTGGCCAGGAGCCAAGTTATAGTCGGTGCCCGGTAAGAATCCCCCATGTCTTATGTTATTAGAGTTGATTTCCGGTAAATTGAGTCACTGTTAAGACTATGACTGGTGTATAGTGACTGTGACTATACGAATACGATAAGTGGGTCATAATTAATAAATACTTGCGCAAAAATACCCAAAAAAATACATATTGTTCCAGGTTTATCAGCAAATTAAAACAAAAATTATTACATAAAGTTAAACAAAAACCAAGAAAAATAAACACATGCAATGCGTATCTGCAACGGGAACTGATAATGATAACGCGCTGCTGACGGCTTGTGACGCAAGTGCCGAGAGAGACCTACATACATACATATACATACATATATGTAGTAGTACTACGGGTATAAAATCGAAAGTGCACGCACCGCACCGGCTATAGCTATACCAAAATCTTGAACATATCAGCCAAGCTTCGAAAAACAATAAAAACCCGAACCCTCGCGACAAGAACTTTATCTCGAGTACCTGCTGTGATGGTGAGGTGACTGTTGGCTAAAGGGAACAAATAAAGATAATTGAGTGTAAAAACAAGAATAAGAAAACGAAGGGGGCAAAAGGGAGAAAAAAAAAAAAAAACGTAACCAAATAATATTGCAGAGGGAGAGAGTACGTCTCTGCCTATTTGCTGAGCAATTTAATATACTACGAGTACGAGTACGAGTCCGAGTCCGAGTATCTGTAGTTGGGGCATTTCTTTGCTTTTCATTTACGCGCGCTGAAAACTCTACTCCGCTTGATGTTTGTTTCTCCTGTTGCAGCACCTCTCTTTCTGTCCCATTTAGAGAACAAACCCGATAAGAGACAGAGACACACACACACGCACAGACAGTCTCATAGTGTGGGACATAGTGGGCCAGAGCCTTAACCCATTGCTGCCACGGTGGGGAAGTCGTTTATCATGCATAGTGCCTACCTTCCCTTCCCCATGTCGTCAATCATTTGTCTCGCTGAGGTCTCTGTTGCCTTTATTTTTTATTCTTTTATTTTTGATTAGTTATTACTTATTATTTTTAGACCTTTTCTTACCATCTTACCATTTTCCCACTCATCATATTTACAAGGCTTTGAATTATGGTCTCCCTTCAGTTCACATGTGTTGCCTGAGATATTGATAAGAGTGTTCAGATATACTGGTAGTACATACATACATAGAAGAGACTGCTTTCAACGAAGGGCAGTTGCTCCATTTGTGGAGCATGGATTGTGTGTGGTGTGTGGTGTGTGGCGGGGCCCATACATAAGTAGGTGGGCAGATAGGCAAGTGGGCTTTATGAACCACATAAAATGTAATTTATATTTTTATATAATGTGTAGGCTTGGCTGATAAAGCCCACTAATCAAAGGGACTAGACGGGTTTTTAGATTGCAGCCGAACCAGCCAGCAGTAGCTGGCTCTGTGGAAGAGACCAAAGCACTGATATTGAGAAAGCTGCCAAAGGTTTTTTTTTTTCTTCGTTTTTAAGCTCTTATGGAAGTTTATTCAGCCTTTGATAACTTTTCATTCTGCAACTTAAACTAGATTATACTGTATTTTAATCTCTAAAAAAAACCCATTTATTGATAGGGTTTCTTAAACTAAAATAGCAAAGAATACGTGTGTGGTTGGAAGACCCTCAAGCACTCAATTTGAAAAGCCACCGACTGACCCTCGGAGTTACTCGGAGCCACTAAACCACAAATCATACTCGTATAATAATAAACCGCTTGTATAAAAAGTTAACTAAACTAGAGAGATGTTCATTGTACAATTGTTTTATATTATTTCTGTGTGTGTGTGTGTGTGTGTTTGCCCGCCTCAAAAGATGGTCTCTGTTTGTGGCTATGAGTGCATGCTCCTTGTCTCTGGCCTGCAGACACACTTGACACGACTGCTGGCTCGGATTACAGGGGCCGCCTGTAGCTACTACTCGATGGGGCAGGCAGGGGAAATGGAACTGCAAATGGGACTCCTCGAGTTTACTTGTCCGTGTCCCATGACGAGTGACGAGGCAACCATCGCGTAATTTTCTGTCATGAGCAGAAAGGAGGTGGAGTAAGAGCAGGAGGAGGAGGAGGAGTGCACTGGGATCAGGTCCCTCCGTGCAACTGGCCGAAATTTGATATAGACTGCATTAAAATAATATGCCGTTTTGTTTTCGCTTTCGTTCGCTCTCGACCCAACCAGACCCGACCAGACCAGACCAGCAGCAACCTTTTTGTAATTTCCTATATATATGTATATATTTATGTGGTTATACATACATATATCGTATATTATATGGATATATGTATATATATTTTTTTTTTTGGGAGGGTCGTTTAAACGCTGTTGTGGCTTGTCGCAAATGGAGCATGCAAATGACCTGCTGGGAAGCATTTGAAATGTTTATACGATACGATACGTTACATATGGCCAAACCAAATATTGTTTGTGCATAAACAGGAAACATTATACATTATTATTGATAGATCTTAGTGTCTCATGCACATTGGGAGGAACGCATTTAGATTCTGGATAATTATTTAATGGCAAGCCCAGTGGCAGACCCCCAATAAAAGTAGATTAATTATCCAGGCAAGTGCTTAAATGTCTTATATCTAAAATTCTGAAGTACCAGATAGCAAATATGTACAGGTATTTCAACTGTGACAGCCGCCAAGAGAGGCGGGGGCGGGGCCAGGCAACGTCAACGTTTGCGGCTACTGTAACTCACACGGACAACGAAATTGAAATCAAAATTAATCAAGCCATGTTGCACCAAAGCACCCAAAACGCAGCCTCTTGGCCCCCACACACAAAATACAGGGGGGGGCAGCAGCAGCAGCAGCAGCAGCAGGAGCAGTGGTTGGGGCAGGGGGGCGGACAAACATTTTGCATATTTCTATTAAAAACTCGACAACAAAATGTGGAGTGTGTGCGACTCGTAAGCAGCTCCCCAGACTGACACACAGATATTCCGATTGAGATTGAGAGCCAAGGAATGCGGCAGCGTAGGCAGAGCACAGTGGAGAAATAACTGCTGCAGTTTTAACAGAGATTAGCAGCGGACAGTGCAACGGCAATTTTAATTACAAGTAACCCATATACATACATATGTACATACATATATACCCATAAATACGAGTACGCGCATACACCGCCTCGGGCTGCCGCCAAGCAGGCGCTGGGGCTAGACCGAACCACCCACGCGTCGGTGCAACCTGGTGGCGGCATCGGCGGCGTCGGCAGGCACTTGAGCAACAGCTTTGCCGGACAAACGACAGACGAGAGGCGGCAGGCGGCAGGCACCCCAGCTCCAAGTCCAACTCCACTTGTGGCGCTGCGCTGCGCTTACAAAAAGGCCTTTTTGTTATCTTGTCGCGTTTGTCGCTGAAATAAAAAGTTGAAGGCGCTTGGCGCTGGCGCTGGCGCTGCTGCAAGGTGTGCGAAATATGCGAAAATTGTAATGCTCACACACAGATACAATACACAGATGTAGATCATATTTATGTGTGTGTGTGTGTGTGTGTGTGGATGCTGTCAATAATGCAAATGGGTCATGGCGCATGCGTTACAGTTTGGCTCGTACTTAAGCTGTTTTTGCTGATTGTTAAATCTATTCAGTTCAGTTTATTTTGGCTGGTGATTAATTTCCCATGCATGTATGCTGTCTTTTCTGTTAAACGATTTTTCACATGGCTGAAACTGTTTTGATACTTACCCCCAAAATTGATTGATTAACAAATCAGTATCGCCTGCTTAACGTGCTTGAGCTCAGGTTCGATAAGTTCTGCCTGAATTCTCAGAGGAGACGAACGCACCTCTAAGCCAACATAGGGGAACACCTCTTCATATTTGCACGCACGCGCCGCGCTTAGATAGCCCTGTGCCGCTGGTGAAAAGAGAACAAATTAAACAGCCCACAAAACAAATGGCAAATAAGATAAGAAGTTGCTCCGAGGGAGAGCGAAACATGTGCATTGTGCTCTTTTTCACACCTAAACAGAATATTTGCTGGCACCAAAGCGAGACGAAAGGTGAAAACTACGACAGTTAAGTGGGCGGGGCAGTGGGCAGGGGAGAGGAGAAGTTACTGAAAAGCAATGCTAATTGGCAAGGCCGTTGCTTATCGCTTTGGGTGTGCTGCTGCTGCTGCTGTTATTGTTGTTCAAGTTTTCTGGAAAAAGAAAGAGCACATTGAACTTGTAGGCCAGAGACAGCAGAGACATAAAAGTTAGGGGAATTTCTTCCTCAATTTCCTGACTATTCTAGCTCTATTAACAATGTTTACACACCACATGGAATGTTGTTTATGCTTTAGCTTCATACTCATGTGGATATTATGTGGTTTTATATCTGATTTATCGATGGTTCTTCTGGCAGATAACATGACTACTGCGAGCACTCGTATGGGTGTGACATATTTTATTTTTGCTCACGCTCTCTGCCATAAGTTGGCATAGCAAATGTAATCACACCGTTAAGACGGCACTTGTACAGTGTACAGTGTGTACACACTACGTGTACGTGTACGTGTACGAGTACACAATCAGCACAAATAATTAATTTTTGCAGCCGTTAAGTCTGGGCGGGACTTTTGGGTTTTCCCCCCATTGGCATTTTGCACCTTTACCTTTATTGTTTTTTTGTTTTTTTTGTTTTGTTTTCTTTCTTTCTTTTCACAGTTGTCACATTTTACGAGTACTACGCGACAGTTGTCACGCCATTTTCATTAGTTAGAGGCAGAGGCGTATTTTGCCAGATGGCAATAGAGTTATTCAACTTCCGCTCAAGCCCATCGATTGGGCTAGGCTAATGTTTGCTTTGAGGGTCTTAAAGATAGATGCAATTGTAATCTTCAATCGCAGTAAGTGTCGCTCGTTGTTGATTGAATATGAATTACGAGGGTCTTATAGGGTCCACGAGTTCCACGAGTATATGGACACAATACGTTCAAGGACTGGGCCTTATCCAACGGGCTTTGCAATGGTCAATAAGTGGCAGGCTAGGCCCCCTTCTGTGGACAAAGTATTAGTGGCATAAAGTGGTATAAATTTTCGTATCAATTCAGCATTAGAGAAACATTCAACTGATCTTGGACTTGCTTTCAGCATTCAATCAATAAAAAGATAATTAAAGTCCTTAATTCAAATATGAAGCAATCAAGGAACCCCTTTAAAGTTGCATCTGCCCCACGGACACCTTTAGCGCTTCTTGGCCAAATGACAGCTGCTCTTTTCGTTGGCTGGGGGAACACGCGAAGGGCGTTGGCTGTCGTCCGTCGCTGCTTGTGTGGAGTTTTTGTTGTTGTTTTCGTTCGATTTTGCAAATGTTGGCATGTTTATTACCTCATCACGTACCGCTTAAGTCGCACACGCAGCAGCGGCCTCAGGTTACCACCTGAGCCATAGGCCGGGATGGGGATCGGACTGCCACGCGCCATTGCGCCAGCTGCAATATGACTGATTGATATTGGGCGAAAGAGCTGGCTGGCTGGCTGGCTGGCTGACGACAGCTTCGGCGATCGCTTTGCTTGCCCAACACTGGATTCAATTTATATCCTAAGGCCGCTAAACAGCCTCAACCGCCCATTAGGCGACTGTGGGCCGAGAGACTGCTGACTGCTGGCTGCGAATATGTCTAGTATTTCTCTGTTGGCGACTAGCTGGGCTTTATGGCGACGTCTAGTCGGCGGCATTCCTTCTCAAGCCCAAGCACGGCGGCGTTCTCCATTCCACACTCCACACTGCACTCTCCAATGTCCACTGTCCACTGTCCATTCTCCAGATACCAAATGCCGCTGCTGTCCAGCTTGAGATGTAACCATTTAACGATTGCCTCTCGCGCATTCGAATGTGCACTTGATCTATTGATCTTCGTGTTCGTTTCACGAAATGCGCGTGGCGTAGCACAGTGGTTGTCTTGCAGCTAGCCAGGCACAGTGGTATGGCACCGAAAACGGAATAGCTTGGGGCTAAGATCATCCCAAACCTTTTTTAAGATGAACATCTCTGCTCAGAACGGCTCGGGACACACAAGCGAATGCTGCAAAAGAGAATGACTGCATAACAACATACATGTCGTGTGCATGATATGGCACATTGCTAGCTACATGATTAGAGCATCGTCTTGCTTGTGGAACTATCGTTATAGCTGTCATAGAAACTATCTTATCGATGCCCAGCCCTCGTCTGTGTTCACGCCAAAGCCTTGGAGAGCGCGCCCACAAAGACTTTGCCGAATGGCAGTTGGCAATTGGCGACCACTGTGCATGGGCTGGAGCCGGAGCCGGGACCAGGCCAAGTTTCGTTACCAGTTTGCCTTGCAGTTCAATGCACTGGCACTGGCCAACCAGTTCAAAATTATGACAGCTGATGGGGGATGGGGAATGGGGGTTGGAGGCAAAGCCTAAGCCAAACCCGGAGCCGCAGCCGAAGCCGACGCCGGAGTCTGTCTTATTTGCTAACAATTGTGGGCCGTCTCTCTCTCTCTGTCTGTCTCTAACTGTTACTGTTACTGCCTATTACATTCCCCCCGCGTCACTCCAGCCCCCCCAGATTATTCAGACGACTACAACAGCATTTTATGTTGACTCTTTGCAGAGACACCTTGTACCGCATGTCTTTCGATCTGGAGCCGCTGGAGCGGGCCAGCTGGGAGGCGACGCCGTCGCAGATAGCCATGTGCCAGGCAAAAGGCCAGTCGGAGCGATGGTGTCGCAACTTTGTGCGCGTGCTCCACAGCTACGGTGAGAACCAACTGTACGCGTGTGGGACGAACGCCTTCCAGCCGAGCTGTTCGTGGCGCCAGGTGAGTGCAAAGAGTGGTCGTTGTGGCGACACCAAGTGACGCGACAGTCCACCAACATCAGCAGCAGCAGCAATAGCAACAGCAGAAACTAAACGAGCTCCACTCCCTTTCCACTCCCTTTGCAGATGGAGAACCTCACCGTCAGCAGCGTGGACAGCGGCGTGGTCAAGTGCCCCTTCCATCCGCAGGCGAACAGCACCAGCCTGCTGCAGGCCAATGGCAACATGTTCGTGGCCACAGCCACCGACTTTTCGGGCAGCGATGTGGCCATCCTTCGCACGGGATTGCAGTCCAACAAGGTATGTGTTCTCCCTCAAAGAACTTATCCCTTTGCACCATTGAACGCATTGAATCCTTTTGCACTCCAGCGCTTCCTTCGCACCAAGCAGTACAACAACAATTGGCTGAACGGAGCACAGTTCGTGGGCAGCTTCGAGGCTGGGAACTTTGTCTACTTTCTGCTGCGCGAATCGGCTGCAGAGCACATGACCTGCGGCAAGGTAAGAGAGCTCTGCCCAAGCATATAATGATCGTCTTCTAAGTGCTGCTTTTCCACTTCCTCTAGGCAATTTACTCACGCATTGCGAGGGTCTGCAAGAACGATGCCGGCGGGGGCCAGCTGCTGCGTGACAATTGGACATCGTTCCTGAAGGCGCGACTCAATTGCTCGCTGCCGGGCGAATACCCTTACTACTTCGATGAGGTGCAGGGCATGACCTATGCAGAGTCCGAGCATGTGCTCTATGCCACCTTCCGCACATCGGGGTAAGTCTCGCAACACTTTTAGGAGAGCCCCAAAGCTAATGATTGATTCGCCCCCCCCCCAACAACAACAGCACAAGCATCTATGGCTCGGCGGTGTGCGCCTTTAACCTCAGCTCGATAAACGAGGCCTTCGACGGTGCGTTCAAGCACCAGGAGCATGCGGATGCCGCCTGGACAACGGTGAACACGCCACAGCGGAGTCAGTTCCAGTGCGCAGGGGGCACCACCGGCTTTGGCCACTTGCTGGAGAGCACACGCTACCAACTGATGGACCAGGCCGTTCAGCCCATTGGCGCCCAGCCGCTATATCATTCGAAGCTGGAGCAGTTCGGGCGCATAGCCCTGGACATACTGAATACCAAAACGGAACAGATTCATGTGCTGTTCGTGGCCAGCAGCGGAAACCACATCAAGAAGCTGTCGGTGAAGTACGTGAATGGCGGGACACAGACCTGTCTGGTGGAGCTCTGGCAAGCAGATGACACCGGCAGCAGTGCCCTACTCAACATGGCCTATTTGAAGGTCGGCGACTCGCTCTATCTGGGCACAGATCTGGCCCTGACCCGAATTCCCGCTCAGCGCTGCAGTCGCCATGTGTCGCTGTCCAGCTGCCTCAACGCCATGGATCCGTATTGCGGCTGGAACGAGCTCGTCGAACGCTGCATGCCCCAGCCCCTCGACTCCTCGGGCTTCCAGCACTGGCAGCAGGCCCCGCAGCTCACATGCCCAGTGCTCAATGCCCCCATCGATGGCGGCTGGTCAACGTGGAACCCGTGGAGCGTTTGTCAGCAGCACGAGGAGACCGACAGCAACTGTTTGTGCCGGGACCGCAGCTGCAACAACCCGCAGCCACAGCATGGCGGGGCCATCTGTGAGGGCATCAGCACGCAGGTGACGAACTGCACCCAGCACGGGGGCTGGACGGAGTGGTCCGCCTGGTCGCAGTGTTCTCAGACCTGCGGCATAGCGGTGAAGATCCGTCGCCGAACCTGCGGCAATCCCAGACCCGCCCACGGTGGACGCACCTGTGTGGGCTCGGAGCAATCTGAAATGTATTGCGGCCATCTGCCGCCCTGCCCGGTGCCCAAGCCCCCGTCGGTGGACGGTGGCTGGGGACCCTGGGGAGAGTGGAGCGAGTGCAGTGCCCAGTGCGGCGGTGGCTTCCGCATGCGACGTCGCGAGTGCAACGATCCGACGCCCCTGAACGGTGGTCTCGACTGCCCTGGCTGCCGGCTGGACTACGAAGACTGCAACATGCAGAGCTGCTCGGAGGTGCGCAAGCTCAGCGCCTGGACGCCCTGGCTCACGCTGCCGACTGGGAGTGCGGGCAACTCCAGTGAGTCGTCCCACATGGAGCGTCGATATCGCTATGCCTGCCGTGCCACCAGCCCCGACGCCAGCTCTGTGCGCATCAGCCTGGCCAAGGAGGAGTCGCGCAGCTGTCACCAGGACGGAAGCTGCCAGAGGCATGGCGACCATGTCGAGACAGCAGAGACGGATTCGGACTGGTCTCCGTGCAGCGTCAGCTGCGGCGGCGGCACCCAGCAGCGTCAGCGAGGTCGAGGCATCCAGAACCGGGCCTGCAATCTCCAGGAGTGCCCCACTGACGATCTGCAGCCCAGCAACAGCATCGACAACGAGCTGGAGCATGAGTGGGGCTGCTGGTCGGAGTGGTCAGCTTGCTCGGTTACCTGTGGCCTGGGAGTGCGCAGGCGAACGCGTCGCTGCCTGGGCGGACATGAGCGACTGTGCAAGGGTCGCGCCCTGGACGAGCAGAAGTGCGAGATGGTGCCCTGCGAAGGTGGGTTTTTCTTACCCGAAATCCTTGCTCACTTTCCGCTAAGTTTAACCTCGCTTTTGGGTTTCGTAGATTTTCTCGGTTGGAGTGCTTGGAGTGAGTGGTCGACGTGCTCCAGCGATGGCATACGTCTGCGGCATCGTCGCTGTCTGGTGGAGCAGCCCACGTCCGTCGAGTGCCGTGGGGCCGAGTTCGAGAAGACCGCTTGCATGCCCAACGAATGTGGAGGTAAATACACTGACTGAATACTCACTAAAATGTTCCTTGCTTATTTTTTCCTTCTCTTTGTGGCTATTGTGCAGAAGTGCAGACGGCCTCCTCCGCTACCCTGCCCATTGTGATTGGCGTCTGCGTGCTGGTGACTGTGGCCTGCTGTCTGGCCACCTATAGATTCACGAAGCAGCGTTTCCTGCTGAGTGCCGAGGAGGCGCTGAATAAGACAACGACAACGACGGCCAGTTTTGATACCTATCCCAATCAGTATTCCAGCCTGCCCACCAAGGATGTAAGCTTGACCCCAGCGAAATGCCACAGAAAGATGGTCTAGAGGCTAATGAACCTTTTTCTTCCAGCAGTACTATGATCAGCGCCCCAAGCGGCAGTCCAGCTTCCGCATGCCCGCCAAAACCAGCAATGTGGGGAATGGCACACTGAATCGCAACCACAATATGCATCACAACAACACGCCCAAGGTGCTGGCCAAGACGTACAATGACTGCGAGACGGGCACACTCAAAAGGCAGTCGGCACTCAACAATTGCCGTACCAACATTGACGATGAGAAGTTCTAGACCATCATCCTCATTTCATTAGCCCAAACTGTGCCATCATTTGCCATGTACATCTACTTGCTGTCTATGGAAATGTTACAACGATAGTGAAACCATTTTGCACCCAATCGAAGCGAAGCAGTTGCAAAAAGTTCCTTCTCTGACTCACATTGAGTCGTGTTAGTTAAGTTAATTGAGGTAGTTGTGAACCTAATTAGTTTTACCATGTAATACTTATGTATCGTATCTATCGGATAAGTAATGTAGTAATAAGTGTGTCGAAAGCTTCGTTGAATAAGTATTTTAGTTGGAATGCGTTTAAACCCATTCCCATTCGACATTTTTCGATTCTAGGTTAAATCATTTCGTTATTGTTTTCAAAATTTTCGTTTACCCTTCACATGATTTTATGTTATTGCCCCACCCCACCCCTTTCCTTCTTGTAGATATTGTCATTTATTTTGAATTATTTTCCCTTTTAAGTGCACGATCTTGACACGGCACTAAACATAATCAAACAAAACAAAAGGAGAGACTGAATGTTAATAATTTTGTAGAAAATTGCTTATCCCAAAATGTATGCCATGCAACACAAGCCAAGAAAACGCTTTCATGGAGAAAATTCAGCTTATTATTATAATTGATTTGCATTTAAATTATCATCGGATAGTGACCAAGCAGCTTAAGTAAGCAGATATTATTTGTAGTCTATGTTGTAAGAAATATCGAACAATACACAAGCAGTTTTATACTAACCGAAATGCATCCTATTCGTTTCACTTGTGCAAACAACTTCGCGTACACATGTATACATATGTATGTATGTACAAACCTTTTATCAAGAAGCACCTTGTAAAAAGTTTCTTAACTGTTACCTGAGAACTCAGACTTAAGTTTAAGGACAGAAAATTTCAAAATATTTATTAGAGAGCATTGAGTTGTTTATTTTTAATCATAAGTTTCATAAGTGGCCTGATTTTCCATTGTGCATAAATATTTTATTCGATGGGTTCTGTCGGAGCGATCGGTCTGCGAGTGGTGCGGGTGGAGCGAGTGGTGCGCGTCGGGCGAGTAGTGCGCGTGGATCGAGTAGTGCGCGTCGGGCGAGTAGTGCGTGTGGAGCGAGTAGTGCGCGTCGGGCGAGTAGTGCGCGTGGAGCGAGTGGTGCGCGTCGGGCGAGTAGTGCGCGTGGAGCGAGTGGTGCGCGTCGGGCGAGTAGTGCGCGTGGAGCGAGTAGTGCGAGTAGGGCGAGTGGTCCGTGTAGGGCGAGTAGAGCGCGTTGGACCAGACTGAAGAGCTCTTCTCACATTTTCACAGGAGAGTGTCCTACACTGCACTATAGTCACTGGAAATACAAAAATAAAATGAGATAAATTGATCAATTATAAAATATAATTAGTAATATACGCCGCTCTATATTTCGTAGACTTACATTGACAGGAGGCGTCAGACAACTGGCAACGGGAGATATTGCGCCAACTAGGATTGCTTCTCCGGCAATTGTTGTTAAAGACATCAGTGACATCGTTGGAAGTTCCCAGACGAGCCTGATTGCGTAGACATCTGGTGTTCTCGCGCTGGCAAATCTCACGTCCCAGAGGCGATATCGTCGTCTGGCTAGCCACGCAAATGCAACCAATAGCTAGGAATTGAATATGTTAGAATTTTCTATGACTACTGTTGACTTGACTCCTAGATTCTCACCCAATAGCAAAGAAATTTTCCACATCTTGGTGTTGTTACGTAAAGCGCAAGATCAAGTTCTGTGCTGGAACAGTGCTGATACTTGGGCTTTTATAAAGGGCTGGAAATATTTTGGGGAAACACCTGTTTTCTCTGTATAGAAAAGACTCTATTATCACGAGTTTCAAGAAGCACGAAACAACGGTGCATTCAAATGGCTAAAAGACAATAAACTCGCTTTGTCAAAAAATTTCTTTATAGCTCTCCCAGTTTTGTGTTCGTTGTACTTCATTTTTTTGAAGGAACATCTTTTTTGGTTGGTTTCGAAAGGTATATAAAGGGTTCGGCATCAGTAGTATTCAGTAGTAATCAGAACGAGTAGTTCTCATCAGCCAGAAGTAAACGGAGAAAATGAATATTAGTATCATTTTGGCTTTATTTGCTGGTAAGTCAGTATAATAATTCAATCAGTTTTGGCATTATCCTTCTCTTCATTATTAGTCCTCTGCCTGACTATGATATCTGGTCAGAGGAATGACTGCGACGCACTGCGACGCGCTTGCGAAAGTTGTTCGAGGGGTTTGCAGAATCCGGCGGATCGTAGCCTGCCCGCATTGAATAGGGAGTGCAGGAGCAAGACTCGTACTACCTGGGTTTGGCGCGATATTAGCCGATGCGAGCTTACCAGATTAAACTGTATAGGTAAGTTATTATTAAATTGTTCACATTCTGGTGTCACCTATCTTAATCGAAATTATTTGTATCTATAGGAGCTAATCGTCGCTTGAACTGTGCAGATATTGCTGAACTTGCTAATATGCAACGTATCAGGAACTGAGGAATTATTGACAATTGATATGATGATTTAAATTTAATCTAAAATAAAATATAAAAGAGAGCATTGAATTAAATACCTTTGTATTTTTTATGCTCGGTACTCAACGACGACGGAACCAGTAATTAACAGTGTAGATAATGTGCAGTCACAGCGATAGCTGATCTGCCAATAATTTTCCGGTATATAAAGACTTGAACTCTTGACTGTGACGCAACACAAGTATGTTTCGATACACTTATACCGCTTGACTACTTAACTTTCTCAAACTACAGCGCGTTATTGTTTGAACTTCATGTTTCCTGGCGGCGATCTCACATACTGTACTTGTCTGGGTTCTACAATTTTTGGCCGCTTGAACCGAAATTGGTTTTTCGTTTTGCTTTGAGGGCTGATGTAGCGACCTGCGCTGACCTGCCGCTACATAAATAAGGAATGGGCAAATTGTGCGAGGGTGGGAAGCAATAAAATATATTAATTGTTTGATTTATTTGAAATTGCACCTTTACATTTTTTTTTTTTAATTAAATATTGTGCAAATGCCGTCGGCTTTCAACTTAGAAACTCTGTTAATAAACTTATATACTGTATGGTTAGTGTCGATACTTTAGGGTGGTCTAACAAAATGTTTAATTTAGGAAAAATGTAAAAATTTCGAAAAAATTTAAAAATGTAATAAAAATTAAAAAAAAACCAAAAAGATGTTTTTATTGCTCGTTGACAAAAATTGTAAATGCTCGCTGACAAAAGCCGACTGATATGAAACGGAAAATTCGGATTGCTCGCTGACAAAAGCTGACTGATATGAAAATAAAATTTATAAATGCTCGCTGACAAAAGCTGACTGATATGAAACGAAAAATTATTAATGCTCGCTGACAAAAGCTGCCTGATATGAAACGAAAATTATTTATGCTCGCTGACAAAAGCTGACTGATATGAAACGAAAAATTGTAATTGCTCGATGACAAAAGCTGACTGATATGAAACAAAAAAATTCAACTTGCTTGCTGACAAAAGCTGACTGATATGAAACGAAAAATAGTATTGCTCGCTGACAAAAGCTGACTGATATGAAACGAAAAAATTGTAATTGCTCGATGACAAAAGCTGACTGATATGAAACAAAAAATTCAACTTGCTCGCTGACAAAAGCTGCCTGATATGAAACGAAAATTATTTATGCTCGCTGACAAAAGCTGACTGATATGAAACGAAAAAATTGTAATTGCTCGATGACAAAAGCTGACTGATATGAAACAAAAAATTCAATTTGCTCGCTGACAAAAGCTGACTGATATGAAAAATATTGTAAATGCTCACTGACAAAAGCTGACTGATATGAAACGAAATTTATTTATGCTCGCTGACAAAAGCTGACTAATATGAAACGAAAAAAATTTTAATTGCTCGATGACAAAAGCTGACTGATATGAAACAAAAAATTCAACTTGCTCGCTGACAAAAGCTGACTGATATGAAAAATATTGTAAATGCTCACTGACAAAAGCTGACTGATATGAAACGAAAAATTATTAATGCTCGCTGACAAAAGCTGCCTGATATGAAACGAAAATTATTTATGCTCGCTGACAAAAGCTGACTGATATGAAACGAAAAATTGTAATTGCTCGATGACAAAAGCTGACTGATATGAAACAAAAAATTCAACTTGCTTTCTGACAAAAGCTGACTGATATGAAACGAAAAATATTATTGCTCGCTGACAAAAGCTGACTGCTATGAAAAAAATTGTTTATGTTCGCTGACAAACGCTGACTGATATGAAACGAAAAATTATAAAATTAAAAGAAACCTGTCTAAAATAGGGATATGTACATATACATATGTACATACATATGTAAATGTGCAATTTCAAATAAATCAAACAATTAACATCTTTTATTTTAATATATTGTATTTATTTCCCACCTCCACCCACTCTGCCGATGGGCATTTATGTTGCGGCAGGTTTCGCTATTTTTCGACCGATTTGGTCCTGATACGCCTCCTTGTAATCAAGGGAAGATCCTTGATGCAGTCCTCAACAAGGATATTTTAATCTATTAATAAGCTAAATCCATACATAAATATATATTAGCTTTTGCACATGATTTATTTTTTGTATTTTTATAAAATTGTATACGTTTAATAATTAATATTACAAGTAATTAATTAATATCGAATATGCATTTAGTTATCATTTAATTTCACAATATTTACTTCACTGCTCTGCTGCTGCTGCATCATCATCTCATCATATGAATGTATCGATCGAGACGACGACCTGCACGGTACGAGTAATTTCTTCATTTTTATATCTGTTGCAAATACTCTGCTCGGTTATGGTTTATTCATTGGAAATAACGGGCTATTGACAGTCGTGTGTGGCATGCGGCAGAAACAACATAAATACAGTAAAAATAACTACAAAAAAGAAGAATGAAATGTGTGTGAAGCCTAAGGAAAAGAACAAGAGAAGTAGCACCCGCACCACATTAGATACAGATATTATCGCGTGGCAGTTGAGAGTGAGAATATGAGCGAGTGGTGGTAGAAATAAGTGTGTGGGGGAGTTAATAGAGTTTTGTGCGTGTCTGAACATGCTGCATATTCCTAACAAAATGGCAAAGGATTGTCTGTAAGTATACATATATATGAAGTATTAATAAATTATAAAATACAAACAATGGGGTGAGCAGAGAAGGACAAGAAACCTAAATTATATCCATACATTCACATACATATGTATGTACATACTTGCATTACAATTAATAATTTACAATCGACAACAGCTCCAAACATGGGGGTGCCTACAGAAAATCATAGTTCCATTGAAATACTACTAAGCAAAAAAAAACCTCTTAGAGAACGCGGGCGGGTTGGATTGGATTGGCTGCTCTTCCACCATTTTTGTTTGTTTTGGATCTCTATATATGTACGTATCATCATATTTATGTATATTTCGCACACACACTGTCGTCATATACTTTATTTAATAACTTTTTTCATAATGCAATCAATGTTTCTATTCCATTATCGCGCGTGTTATGGGAGAGAAGAGCAGGAGCTGGCTTTTGTTTGGGATGTTTTGTTGTTTCAGTTATTCGGTGTCACGTGGGGATCGGATCTAACAGGAGCTAAGAAAACTACTTCCTCCACATACAGTGTAATCGTAATTGTTACCACCATTCCGCATCATTATCAGTGCCGTCAGCCACATATTGCAGCCACGTCAAAGCAGACTGCATCTGGACAGCCAACTATCCTTTGTCCGACTGTCTAGCGTTTTTAGCTGATGTCCGCCCTTGGGTGGGTTGTTCGCCTCCTGCACGGGCGTATGAAAAGTATGAGCCAGCATTCGAATTATGATATATTGATGCACTCACCATTCGCTTTTCTGTTTTCGCTTTGATATCACTGGCTAGGGTGAGGAAAGCTTCTTCCACATTAATGCTGGCTTTCGCTGAGGTCTCCATGAACTTGATGCCATACTCGATTGCCAATTGCTCGCCACGCTCCTTTGAAACCTTCGAGAGAAGAGAGAAAATAATTATCGTTTCCATGGTTTAATGATTCAACCCCACAATCATTGATAAAGAAACCTTTTGCGAATCTAACAATAGCCCAATAAGTCACCCAATTCTATTCGTACCTGACGCTTATCGTGCAATTCGCACTTGTTGCCCAGCAGCATTTTCTCGACATCGGCGGAGGCATTTTCTTCGATATTTCTGATCCAGTTCTTGATGTTCTCGAACGACTTTTCCTGGGTGATGTCATACACAAGCATAATGCCCATGGCACCTCTGTAGTAGGCCGTGGTAATTGTGCGGAAGCGCTCCTGGCCGGCAGTGTCCCTAAATAGAGAGAGATATATAAGCGATATTAGTGCTGATAAATATAGCATTATTTATTACATTACTTACCATATTTGAAGTTTGATTTTCTTGTTATCTAATTCAATTGTTCTAATTTTAAAATCGATACCTGTAGAAGATACAAAAGAGAAGAAAGAGAGAGAGAGAATCACATGAGTAAATCGAAATAAAATTCGGCAAGCAGAACCTGAACCTGTTTGCAGAATAGCAAGCACCTATGAGATGAGATGATGACGTACTGGCCGAAAGAGAGAAGCAGCGCGAAAACCATAAGAGAAACACAACACGATAAGAGTAAGAGCAAGAAGCGGGACAAAACGCGCAATTGAATAAAACAATGTCGTTAAGTAAATAGACCAAAAGTGGAAATTGGCGCAAGGGAAACGTGCCAAATACGAAAATAAACAATTGGCGGCTGCCCCGCAAGTCGATTCCGCACAGCAATACGAGCGGAATCCGGGAACTCTCGCGAAGTGAATGGAAGGAAGGCAACGTATCACAGCGTATCATCAAGGGGCTACTCACGATAAGAGCTTGGAAAGTGCAATGACTTTTTTATGAGTCTTGGCTTAGGCATCCAATTATTATGCGGGTGTATTGCTAGGGGCATCTCGAGGCTGAGATAAGCTCCGCAGCATAACACAAATTGGTCAGGTTTACTTCTTCCGTTTACAGATTTGTTGGAAGTCCGTTTGCCCCTCCCCAAGAGTCCGTCCGCACCTATCTGAGTACCATATAAAACAATAATAATTATGACAAATACTCAAGCAAGTAAAGAAGAGCGTTCGATGTGAGTCATGGCCCACGGTCTCGGCTTGAGACGAGCGCTCAGCCAGCCACACATGAGTGTGAGTGTGAGTGGAGTGAATGAGTGTGAATACTGCCGAAGTCCGGCGGCGGCGTCATAAATAATTAAAAAGAGTATTCAACCAGATCCGATGATGTATGACGATTGTAATGTCTTGCAACGATCGATAGTGGTGCTGTAAAGGACGGCAGGCAGGTATTCTCACCTATTGTGGATATAAAGGTGGTGTTGAACGCATCCTCGGAGAACCGAAACAATATGCAGGTCTTGCCCACTCCAGAGTCTCCGATTAGCAGCAATTTGAACAGATAGTCGTACGTCTTGGCCATTCTGATTCGTATGAGGGAAAAATCACAGTTGCGCTTCTATTTGTTGCTCCTCCTGGTGATGCCGATGACGATGCTCAGATGCTGATGCGTGTACACGTCGCCGTTGCTGTAGCGGTGGTTGAAAATCAGTGGTTTTAGTTTCGCTTTATTGTGCACTAATAATGCTAATAACGTCTCTGCTGTCCATGCGTGCCAACAAAAAATTCCTAGACGTAACCACACAGCAGACAAACAAACACTAACAAACAAACACACGCAAGCAAAACACGGTTTTTCTTTTCAGCTCTGGTATCTCTGGGTGTGTGTTTGTGTGCGTTTGTGTTTTCGATGATTTCGAGCCGTGTCAAAAATGGCGACGTAGTTCAAAACATTTATTTGTTATATTGGCAATTGATGCGCGGTTATGTGGTTGATAAATGGTACGGGCATACACTGCACCGCCCAATATAGTTATGTGTGATTGTTGGTGAGACGTACTAGTTTACTTTAATTACTGCTTTCTAATTACGCCCGTACAAAAAACATTAGTGTTGGGTAGCGGCCGGGCGATAAATGTTGTACAACTGAAGCAGTGTGACGAGGTATATTTCGGTATTATTATGCATCAATGGTCTCGAATGTATGTAGGCATAGTGGTAGAACAAATAGAACGTGAAAAAACCTTTTGTGGATTTTTGGGTTTGAGAGAGAATTTACAAAATATCAGTTGGTTTTTTTTGAGGATTTTTTGATAAAACCATTACAAAATATACCGCAAATATACCGTCTCATTTTCAAAATATTCCGTAAAAATACCAAGGAAAAAACGAACTTAACCCATATTAGGCGGTCATTTTTAAAAATGACATTTCTAAATATACCTTAAAAATTGGTTGATGAAATATACCATAATGTACCGTTATACCTTATATATACCCTGAACAATTTCCACGTCAAAATATAGCAAAGAGCATATAATTATACGCTGTACAGCCAAAATTCATATTTTTCTCCCCATATGGCAGCTTATTTTGGAGCAAAGTGGGACCGTTTTTTTTTGTGGATGACCGTCAGCTGTTCGGCCAGTGTTGCTCAGGCCCCGACTAGTCGAAACAAATAGTGCAAATAGCAAATAACATTGGACAGGTGAATTCCAGATTCCAGACTCCCCGTTAAACCGTATCATACACTCGAGCCTAAACTGCAACGGTCCACAAACAACGAAAACAAATGTGAAAAGTGAAGCCCGAGACGACGCAGCAGCAGCACCCCACGAATTTGCCGTCGTCGCGCTCACACCACCCCCGCACATAACACTATTATGGGCACAAAGGAGTCCAAACATGCCTGCATCAGCTACGAGGATGCAGTCAAACGTGGTAAGTGTTTAACCTTCAAAGCCTGGTACTATTGGCTCCATCAGTTGACCAGCAGAGCGCCCACCGTCCGCGCTGGCGGCCACTTAAAATGGGTCACTACACGAATCGACGTCTCGGTTCTAGAAGCCCAAAAACAAAAACCATTCTACTGCCCACCAACACAGGTGTAACTGCGCCTTATCGATTCTATTGTTGTGCTCCCATTCTACTTCCATGCTTGCTGCTCACGTTCTCCATTCCCACTCCCTTTCCGTCTTTTTCGGGATTTTCGCTATCTTTTTGCTTTTCAATTGCATTTGTGTGTGCCATGCCAGTTCTGTTTCTCTATGTGGGGGTATTTGCGTCTTCGTCGCCAGTGACGTCACAATAGAAAAGCTTAGCCACATGCCGCCTTGCTGCTGGTCGTAACACTAAGGGGTGGGTGGTGGGGTTTGAAACAACAAAGCAGAAAAAGTTGACTTGCCAGCGAGCGAGTGCAGTGCACGCTGTTCTTGTTCTCTCTCGGGATTGGGGGAGCACATTGCGGTTTCGGATAACTTGGAATTTTGCGGATAAATTATGAATGCTACTACTCTCGCAGATGTTCCATTTCATATGTACATTCAAGGACATACTTTCTGCATTTGTACACACTATCAACTCGTAATCTTTCCTAAGGTGTAGATTATTTTAGCCACGCGAATCTTTCGATCCACAACCACTCTACTACTCCCAATTGCCCGATTTACTTTCCAGCAAGAGCACCTAAATAAAAAGAACACCCGAATGTTACTGATAAGACCCCCCTCCCCCAACTGGGTGCGTGTGTTTCTTATTAGACGCAGCGACCGGTTGTTCGCTTTCAATAAAAAGCAGAAGAAAGGGAGGGCGAAGGGGAAAGAAAATGGAAATGAATGCTTGCATGCAAGCCAGAAAACAGAGAACGTGAAGCAGAATTGCAGCTTTTCAATAAAATTCCGTTTCCGTGACGTCGCATAATTCGCATTGCATTTGTACACCGCTCAATTTGCGGTTATCAATTGTGGCCGTCTTTCGAGTACTTACCTTTGCAAATACTCTCGCCTCGACTCTTATTCAACATGTACTTTAATACCGGGCATTGATTGCTCTCTCCCACACATTCTTACTCTCTTTGCCTAGTCTTCCGTTGTATGGCATGCGAGGCTAATAGAATACGTTAGGAACTACGAATGAATAAAACTTGCGCGGCTTAGAATAATTATGTTTAGCATTTCAGTACTGGCATTTGTTCTACAGAGTATACAAAATTCGATGCGTCATGCATGAGGTTTTCCTACTTTGCACTCTGTCGTGGGTTATTCTGTTCGGTAAACCGCTTTGAGTTACGATTTTTAATCATCGCCGAATGTGTTTGTGCAATCAATGTGCAATTGAGATACGCGGATAACGGTAAGGAGGTTTAACGGAATAGCTTCAGCATCTTCAACTATTGCAACCCATTAGGATAAGATAAGAATAATTACATTCTAGCTGCATTCTGTGTATGAACTTCTAGTGTTGATTGGTACTGAAATAAGCGCTTAAATAAGATTCCCATAATTTAGATTTTACAATCAATCAATGTGATCTCCACTGACGTCACAATGGGGGACTGACACGCCGTTTCGGGGTGTGAAAAATCACTCATCAAAATTATAATCGTATTTATAGTGTGGCGGGGAGCGGGGGGCCCACCGCTGGGATGGGATAAACCACCCAGTAAGTTATTCAATTCAACAGGCATTACTCATTGATTTCCATTTTAGTTAGCGATGCGGAGCTGCGACGCCTGAAGGATGCCTTTAAGAAGTCGGCGGGCGTGGGACGACTCTACCTCAGTCGCAATGCCTTCCAGCAGGATGTTCTGTGCGAGGGAGTGCCGCCAAAGATCACGGATATGCTCTATGCCGCCTGCGGTGGCATCCAACGCGGCATCTCCTTCAAGGACCTGCTCTGCGGACTGGTGCTGATCACTCGCGGCTCCCAGGAGGAGAAAACCAAGTGAGTGATAATCAATGTACTTGGTATCTTACCGATTTTAACGCCTTTTCTGCCCACAGATTCCTGTGGAACCTCTACTGCAACGACTCTGGCACCTACATCGTCAAGTCGGACTATGTGCGCAACGTGAACCTGGCCCCGTTCGAGAGCGTCTCCTTGTTTGCGCAAAGCGAACGCGTCAATTTCGAGCAGTTTCAGGACTGGATTGTTAAGCATCGCAATGCCACAGTCCTTTCCAAATGGCTACTCGCCGATAACTGCGTTAGTCTCACCTCAGAGCTAGAGACGCCCACATTCTATCAGAGCCTGGCAGGAGTCACTCATTTGGAGGAAAAGGTGAGAGAGATTTGGGGAACCTTACTTAACATTTGATTCACCATTGGCTCTTTGCAGGACATTGGCGATCTAGAGAAAGAGTTCTGGCGTTTGAAGAACACCTCACAGAATGGCCAAATCGATTTGCAGTTCCTTGGCCCCCTGATCAGCCCACCCATACCAAAGAATGCACTGGCCGGACTCTTCAATGCCTTCGATGAGAATCGCGATGGTCACATCGACTTCAAGGAGCTGTGCTGTGGCGTAAGCGCCGCCTGCCGTGGACCAGGCGTGGAACGGACGCGCTGTAAGCACTGTCGCTGCCCAATTTGCACTGGTTTTCTCAACTTTCCCATTCTCCCTTTGCAGTCTGCTTTAAGATCTTCGATGTGGATCGCGATGGAGTGCTGAGCCATGAGGAGACCATGCAAATGATCAATGTGCTGCTGTTTGTGGCCAAGGAGAATCGCGACTCTCAGCAGTACACGGAGCTCAGTAAACAGCATGTAATCAGCGATCTGCTCGAGTTTGGGCAGCGCAAGAGTCCGGATGGGGCACCCAGCAACGTCACGCGCGACAATGTCTCACTGACGGCCGAGGACTTTATGCTGTGGAACGTGCAGTGCAACCTTCGGCTGATGCAGCCACTGCTGGACCTCATCTTCGAGCTCTGCCACATCGTATTCGGCCTCTGGCCACAGTGCAAGCACATGGAGAACGATATCGTGCGCGGCTGGTTGCGGCGCGAGGAGCGGCGTCCGTATCGCGTTGGCCAGTTCTGGTATCTCATATCGCGCACCTGGTGGCTCAACTGGATGTCGTACACCCAGCACACGGCCCACACCTGCGACTACTGCAAGCGCACCGCCAGCCAGCGTACTGCCGTGGATGAGGCACTTGTCTGTGACGAGAGCTTCAACACCCACAGCCTCGAACAGCACGACAGCTACTCGCTTGGCTCTGGCTCCGGCTCCGGCTCAGGCTCAGGTTCGGCAAGCAGCGGCATTTCGGCTGGCCGCCACTGCGGTCCCATACGTCCGGGGGCCATTGACAACAGCAATCTGATCACGGCCAATCCGTACCGGAATGTGCGCACCCTCACCGGCGAAGGCGGCCACCTGAAGCGGGACACGCCCATCGTGCAAAGTCACGACTTCGAGCTGGTGCCCAAATCCCTGTGGAAGGCCCTGAATCGATGGTACGGCGACAACCTGCCATTGCCCCGTCAGGTAAGCGCAATCTCACGCATTGACAAATTTGCATGGTAAATACTCTTCCCCTCTACTGCCCCGTAGGTTATTCAACCGCCTAACACGGATGTGGAGCTGGAGCTTTATCCTTTGAACCTGCGCATTCTGCTGCACCAGGCGCAACCCTCTCAGACGAGTCTGAGCGGAGCAGCGGGAACGCAGCTGGGCAGCTGGGGTTCCACAGTGAGCGGCGGCTATGGGGTCCTTGCCTCGGGGGGTGGCTATGCAGCCATTGCGGCCAGCAGCGTGCTGCAGCCCCCTAAGCGCTACCTGGCCTACACGGCGGCATTCAGCCGCCTGGCTACTGTGCGTCAGGTGGGGGAGTTCCTTTGCGAGCAGCTGCGCCTCAAGGCGGAGGATATACGGCTGTGGCATGTGCCGCAGCTGGACAACGGTGCCATACTACTGGAGGAGGATGCCATGTGCCTGAAGGAGCTGTTCATTCGCGACAACGACCAGCTGCTGCTGGAGATACGCAACAAGGATCTGACCTGGCCGGAGGAGCTTGGCTCGTTGGCCAGTGCACAGAGCGGCCAGGGCACCGGG